ATAGCGTACTCTGGTGAGAGTCCGTTAAATCGGTCTATTCATCGAGTGGATGAGTTGAGAAATCAAACGGGCAGTCCACTTACGCCGCCAATCACCGACGAAAATTCAGTCTTTAGGATCGGCATTTTGTCAAATAGGATATATCAAAGGGAATTAAGTGGACACCACCAAACCCACGATGACCTGTTTTGACGAAATATCGACAGCTTGCAAGGAAAACCAGATCACTTAAATTTATCCGAATATTTGGCACAATTGTAGAGACAGAAAGGAAATTTAAGCTGCTAATAAAATGTGAAACTGTTGCGTTTCTTCAATGTACCGAATCCTTTTAAAACAATTTCAGAATTTCCCGAAATTTTGTCAAGTTCACACAAACGTAATCGGATCAAGAAGTACTAGATAAGCACGAACGAATGTACTGATTTGGAATTCGAAATCAAGTATTCACCAAGTACAAAGAAATCATTAGTTCATGCAAACACCACATCCGCTACAGCTTATATTAAAGTCTAAGTTTCTGTAGTCGATTGTACGTCTTCTTCACCAGTTCATCCTGTGTATTGGATAAGGACTCTGTATAATCTAGAATGTACTCATTAGTATTAGAATTAACAACGAAAATTGGGACAAAATCACCTGGTTTGTGGAATTGTATCTGATCAACATATCGCTTTTGTGTACTTAAATCGTTGATATCTAGAATTCGACTGATGGATTTCTCAACAGTGTTCACCACAATTTCAGTGGCTAGTTAACGATCATTTCCACGATAAAATGCAACTACTGCAGACTCCAAACACTTCACATTAGAACGAAAAATTCTTCCTTTTAATTGCTTGGATGGAGTCTCTTTCGTCTCAGAATTTTTGGCATTTCTATATTGCAGTAGAAATGTGTTTGCTCACTCTCCAGTTCATTAAATGTTGAATCCGCAGTAGAACCGATGGCAGTTTACAATGTCCTGACGAAACTTTCCGCATGACCATTAGAACAAGAGTGCCTGGGAGCTGTGAACAGATGCTTGCACCCCATACCATTCAACCAGATATTGAGTGAGTCTGCAGCAAAATGAGAGCTATTATCGGCCAATAATACCATAAGAACGCCTTTCCGACTAAATACCCTTATTATTGCTTGAATTGTGAAGTCAGAATTTGGTGAAGTTGTGGAAAAAACTTCAGGTCACTTTGAAAAAGAAGCAATGACTACAAGTCCATAGTATTTGTTAAGAAATGGATCACGATAGTCTGCACGAATTCTCTGCCAGGCCTCAGATGATACTGGCCATGGAGTAAACTTCGGAGGCTGACATTTTTGTTGTAACGTGTGTGACTTGCAGGTTTTGATAAGCAACGTTTTATTGATCGATCGCAGTACAGTGACACGGAAAACACGTATGAACGACCTAGTGCCCTGATTGGTCCCGCTTCGCAGTCTGTCCCAGCCAGTTGAGTCAAGAACGCAAGTCACAGCCTCTGAGTTATGAATCATTGTATTTCGGACATACTTTGTTTATATACCAATCAAGCACACCACATCGTACCATAAAATAGGAAACAACATTTACAAAATATTTAACAAGTGAAATAAACATCGACCAATAAGAAATGTACATTTAAGGTCCAAGGCCACCATAGACTTAACACGACAATTATTGGTATATTTTTCCGACTATCCAAACAATTTTGACTTATGACATTTTCTACAGTTGTTCGCTGTACGATATATATCTGAAATTATCTCCGGTCACCAACATGTGTGCCTTGTCAAAGACCTAATTTTCTCAACACCTAAATGTTCACTATGAAGATCTCCAAGAAAAGATTTACGTAATGAAAGAGGGATAATCAGACGTTCATTTAAACACTAAATATCCCCAGGAGTAGTGGATAGATCATCTTGCTTTGAAAAATAGACAGGCGATCTACGTTTCAGATTAACATTCCAGCCTTTCCGTATAGCACTGAGTATACAACCAAAGTATATACGAGTTTCTCTAATGAGAACTGGACGCCTCACTGAAAAAGGTTGCACCAAAAAACAATCTGGAGTATTAACAGATCTATCTTGTAATGATTGTCGAGAAATGTAGTCATAGGCACTCAGGGCAATACTTCGTTGTTGAACCATAGCAGCTGAGGAACGTGCTTCATGATCAGTAACAATAGTGAATTTCTTCCCAAATAAATATTTATGAAGTCTTTTAACAGCCCAAAACACAGCTAATGCTTCTCGGTGAGTTAGTGAATGACCTTGTTCAGTAACAGTATGCTTGTATGAAACACAGATAACTGGTCTACCTTCGTGCTCCAAAACTGCACCAATACCCATAGGTTATGCATCAGTATTAAGCACAGAATGTACACTAGGGAAGTAAGTTCGAAGAACACCATCACTTTGAAGAAACTTTAGTAGACTTCCCAAGCGTGACTCCTGTTCCTCACCCGATTTGATTGAATTGGATGTCAAAATATTAAATATACAATTTTCAAGACAAGAAAATTTCTAAAATAAGGGGAATATTATTGAACGTAGTGTCGTAAGATGTTTTGGAGACGGTGCATTTTTCAGTAGAGCCAGTCGTTTCATATCTGGTCTAAAACCATTACCTTCAACTAGGTATTCAAGACATTCAAAACTAGATACGCAAAATAAATACTTATTTGAATTCACTGTAATATTCTTCTCAATTAAATGACGTAATAAATCAATAAGTCTCTCGTCATAAACTACATTATCAAAACTATGAACAATGAGATCATCTTGATAAATTTCAACACCTTCAAGATCTCTAACTACTTTGTTCATAACTTTCTATGATATGGCTGGAGAACAACTTAGACCAAATGGAAGGAAATTGTATTTGAACAGACCAAAAGGAGTGTTAATTGTCGTCCAAATAGATGAAGATTGATCTAAAGGAATTTGAGGATATGCATCTTCTAGGTCAACTTTCGAGAACACTTTAGAATCATGAAGTGAATTTAGAACATCTCCAGGCTGTATCGTCGTGCACGTATGCCTTAACAAACGGGAGTTTAATGTTAATCTATAGTCAGCACATGTTCTAGGGGTTTTGCCGTCTGACTTCAGTGGCGTAACAATAGGAGTACCCCATGATGACGATTGAATCGGTTCAAGTATGCCTTTCACACAAAAATCGTTTAATGTCTTATGTACTGCTTTCGAAGACCATAAGGAATTATTCGTCTTTTGCGAAAGACTGGATCACCCTGTACCTGAAGTTTTATAGGCTGAATTTTCATACCTCCACTGCATTTAGCACACGTAGCTATCAAATCTCTAAGTAAAGCATCATAATTTTCTTTAGAAAGTAGAAAAGACAACTCCACTTTAAGCCTTTTCAAATTCTTTGAACCCAGTGTTGACAGTCCTGTTTCTCTCACTAAAAATTCTCAAGGTATTTATGAAGTATTATCATCTCTTATTAGCAATTCACAACAACCTCGTATGGGCAGTCTGTGTCCAGTAATTCTTAATATCGATACTTCAGTGGGTCGTACCACAACTTTAGGATCTAAAGATTTCAGATTCTGGAATGAAATAATGAACTCTATACTCCTGTGTCCACAATAAATTCATGACATAAACCACGCGGTGCATATAATCGCTTTTGAATATGAGCATTACCTTTCGAAATGGTAGACAAAGATAAATGATCATTAGGAACAGCTGAATTAGACGGATCTAAACTGCAAGATTTAGTACTGTAGAATTATGGTCTACTATGATATTAGTACCGCTCTAATAATAGACCTAATCCTAAAATTGTAGATTTGTCATGATATAACTGCCTAATCTATAAGATCTTACGTGGAAGTCACATCATCGTCTACACCTACTCACTGTATCGTATCAATTACCAATACAGGATGTAGAACAAGGTTAGGCTAGAGAAGGAACAATATATTTTTTTATATGAATAAAAGATATAAGGTAATATTCAGAGGGACCATGCCTGCATGGCTGATCCATGCCATCCGCATAAGGAAGTGAGATAAGTTTTTCTGGATATGCCAAAGTTTTAATAAACTGTTCGTTTCTCTTCCGATGAATGACAGGAAATGTGCCACAATTTTATCACCTTTAACATCTTTCTTGGTCATGCTCCAGATTTCAAACCTTTACAAATAATCCTCAAAAGCTTCAGAAGTTGAATGAATATCTAGCTGTTCCATCACAGGCTCAATCGCGACGCCATGTGATGATTAGGAGTATTTGAATTATAATACGAACTAACAATTCCAGAAATAGCGTAATCACATCAAGAAGTACTAGATAAGCACGAGCGAATGTACTGTATTTGGAATTCGAAATCAAGTATTCATCAAGTACAAAGGAATCATTAGTTCATTCAAACACCACAGGAACTCAAAACAACTGTCAACCGATATCAAAGTGAGAATCTTCTATGCGGACGTCAAAACAGTCCTACTGTACGGGACTGAGATTTGGAGAACTACCACAACCATCATCAGGAAGGTATAAGTATTTATAAAAAATTGTCTACACAAGATAGTCAACATCCTTCGGTCGGATACTATCAGCAAGAGCCTTCTGTGAGAGAAGACAAACTAGCCTTGAGCTGAATAGGAAATTAGAAAAAAACGTTGTAATTGGATGGGACACACATTGCGGAGATCACCAAACTGCATCACGAGGCATTCCCTTACTTGGAATCCTGAAGGGAAGAGGAATAGAGAGAATGGAGAACAAACTGCGTTGAGAATTGAAAGCAGATATCAAAAGAATGAACGACAAGTGGAAAAAACAAGCAAGGATCATCCACGATAGAGTCAGACAGAGAATCTTGATGGGTGGCCCAAACTAATTTACAGGGAAGTAACAGGTATAAGTTATTTTAAACGCAAAAAAATATGAATGTTATCTAGAGAGTCTAAAATGAAGACATCACTTAATTACATTAGAAATATCGCGAAAATAAATGATATCAGTCGTTAAAATCAGACAAGTAGGTCACCACTTTCTTATAGTGGTAAAGAAGCACATTTGTTTGGACGATGTACCGATCGGTCATATAGTTTCGGCGCGCTACTCTGCATCGTGGTGAGATCAGGAGTCGATGGTTAGTACTGTTTTATTCCCAAAACCACCTTATTTGTGTTATAGTCTCGTATCAAGGCCAAAAAGACAAGGAAGTTGCGTGGCCACGTAAGTCATGGCCATGGACGAGTAGGTAAACATCGCAAGCATCCGGGAGGACGGGGAAATGCAGGTCTTGAACATCATCATCGCATTAACATGGACAAGTACCATCCAGGCTATATTGGTAAAGTTGGTATGCGCCATTATCATCTTAAAAGAAACCCCTACTACTGTCCAACAATTAACCTGGATAAAATATGGTCTTTAGTTTCGCAAGCGACGTACGAAAAGTATAGAGACTCCACTGATGGTAAAGCTCCTGTAATAGATTGTTTGCGCAAGGTAAGTACCAACATCTAATGTATCAATTGGCCCTTATAGGGTTATTTCAAAGTCCTAGGCAAGGGATATCTTCCGAAGGTCCCAGTTATTGTCAAAGCCCGGTTCTTCTCTCGGAAAGCAGAAGAAAAAATCAAAGCAATTGGGGGAGCTTGTATATTAACTGCATAAATATAATTTAGCATTGGATATTCCATTCGATTTTCTGAACGTGACTGGTGACTAACCTAGGTATGTATGTTGCAACAGCGTCAATCGACACCCTGTCAAGTCATAGTCTACTATAAATGACGTACATAATGTTTAATCACAATTTGCTCGTGTAAAAGTCCTTCGGTCACTCAGTCATAAGAAAACGGAATGAGGTTCCTGGCATTTCATTCTCTCCGCCAACTTTAGCCCATGTGATGAGAAAGTAGTATCTCATTTATGACCGGGTCGTCTTATTTGCGTTCACTTAACATCACAGTAAAATAAACAGAAATCTGTATACGGGGAATGTTGTCTGTGTTTGACACCCAATAGTGACTTGCTTAGAATTGGAACTCGGAAACTCCAGATGTATATTAGCAGTCTCAAACTTCTAAAGTAACAACCCACTTGATATATTATTTAAACTTTTGACTTCACGCTCTGCAAACTTTTCGACCACACCTATTATGTTGGCTCCAAACGTCAGTCGAAAAAATTCCATGATTGATAACATGGGCTTGACTCAAACTATAAGGACTTATTATTTCAGTAAGGCTTCGTGGCGATCAGAATATGGGACCTTACAGTCAGATTAATCACAGTTGTCCTTGACGGAATATGCTTGAGCCTAGCGCCGTAACATATCTCCTATTCGGAACTATCTCAATAATAAATGGTCCAAATTTCAAATGTTTGGTCAAACTTGCGACTGAAGTAGACCAAACTAAGTCGTTTTTTATTGTTACCCAATACGCTCTAAATTCATCTCGTTAGTGATTTTATATTTCTAGATTAAATTAGTAGTGTCATGCTAGAATTTTCTCAAGTAATAGTGATAAGCTATACTAGTATTTGCCTCTCATTATGATCGACTTATCTGTTGCACTGCTGCCTGAAATGTAAAATTCTGTTGATCATTGTGTTTGGATTAAAACTAAGGTAAACCGACTGTGATAGTCAATGTGTCTCGACAAGTTTACTTCGTCGCAAAATAACGTTATATCTCAGAGTGCATACACACGCTAGGTGCTAAAATTATGTGATGGCTCTAATGTCCTAGCACCATCTGATGTACTCGTTATCGACGCATCTGTATTGTGTCCTTCTGCTAGTTCTAAGTGTCATCTACTGAGGGACTACGCTTCTTACTGCGTTCTCTTGTCGAATAAAATCGAAATATAGTAACGTATTTGTATAGCCAGACAGTGACTTTAGGTATAGTGAATTTTCTACTGCAATATGACTGAAAAGAGTCACTCGCAATTGCATAAAGTTACTTAACCAGACACATTAACGTATTCGACGTCTCGTCCAGTTTTACAACCAACGGTATATAATATGGATGCAATTCTCAATGAAATACAACTGCCGTTGCTATTTGCTGGATCTTAATAATTAAATGACACTGTTACAAAGCCATATGGAGCTAAAATACTTAATAAATCAGAATTACCAAGCCAACTATATGTTACTTTACTCCAACTTTACATCATTATTTTGTACGTGCTGCTGCGAAACCTGTCAACGTTGTCCGATGCTTTCCGTGGATGGACTACATTTTCCAATGTCACAAAGACATGCTATTGTAAGACAAACACTGCTGAACTTTACGTTAACAGTCAGTCAGTAACAACGTAGAACTTCGTACGTACGTACATCAGTTCGAGTTGCCACACCACATTAGCACAGAGATGCAGTGGTCGATTCAAATCTCGTAGTGGTAGAGGTAGTAAGAGTATAAGCAGTAATCGGGAAGATTAGGGTTTGGAGATGTTATTTAACGAGTATAATCCAGTGAAATAAATTTGGAAAGAGGAAAAAAGGGACACGAAGAATTCAGAAGATTAGAATTTGGGAGAACACAAAGAGTGGATGCACCTGCGCCATTGCAAACGATTTTGAGCCATGTCATTCAGGGTCTCTAACCATCGGTTGCTGTCATCTCGCGGTCCCCAAACAGGTAGTCTACACCTACCAACATGACTCAGTCCACTTGTCAGTGACTTCATGGACTTGTGCCATGTTTTGGTTTGGCCGCCCCTGAGATTTCGTCACACACCAGACCACAAGGGCTGATGAGACTTCCAAGATAAGTGAAGCGGTCGACACACTCAACTACTTCACTCCCTATCACTAGTTCGGGTGTCGATGTAACCCAATCCTGAAGCAACATTTTGCATTTCGAGGGAGAGAATCGCATCCCGAACATGCTTGCATTGTTGCTTAGAGTGGTCAGAAGACTCTGCATTTTGTCAGCGTCTTCACCAAATAAAACTATGTCATCAGCATATTCTAAGTCAACAAGTGAACCTCCCGGTAGAAGTTCAACCCCTGTAAATTTAGATGAGGAGAGTGTTATCTCTAAAAGTACGTCGACCACAAAGTTGAACAAGAATGGGGAGAGTGGACAGCCCTGACGAACACCACTTGAGGTAATCAATTCTGATGACAGTTCGCCATAAGCTCTCACTCTACCAGTTGTGTTCGAGTAGAGAGCCTTTATAAGGTTAATGTACTTCTTTGGTACTCCTTTCAGTGACAAACACTGCCATAGAACCTCACGATCAACAGAGTCGAATGCCGCCTTAAGGTCGAGAAATACTACCATTGTGGGGCGTCTGAATGTGTGTCTGTGTTCTAGAACCTGACGTAGTGTGAATATCTGATCTATACAACCACGTCCAGGTCGAAAACCAGCCTGGTTTTCTCTAGTCTGCTCTTCACGAGCTTTGATTAGGCGTCGAAGTATTATTGAAGCTAATATTTTAGACACTATATTAGTCAAACTGATTCCTCTGTGATTGTCACAAGAGGACTTTTGTCCTTTCTTATAGACTGGCACAATCAGTGATTGAGACCAGTCAGATGGGATTACGTCCAGTTCCCAAATTCTACCTAAGACCTCAGTTAATCTCATTGCTAATACTGGACCACCATCCTTAAAAATCTCAGGAGTAAACCTGTCAGGGCCTGCTGCTCTCCCTCGTTTCAGATTTCCTATGGCTTTTTCAACTTCGTAAAGGGACGGAGGACCTACATTAACTTGCCATTCAGGTTGACTGGAGATCGTGGGAAACCGAAGTGTGGCTGAAGGCCAGTTGAACTGATCCCTAAAGTGTTCTGCCCATCGATCCAATCTCCTGGATTGAGAATGAATAATATGTCCATCTTTCTCTGAGATTGTTTCGCTAACGGTCGGGTTCCTAATTCCGGTTTCCTTAACGAGTCTGAACAATTGTCTGCTATTACCTATTGCCGCTGCCTTTTCCATCTCTCTTGCTTTCGCTACCCACCACTGTTCGCGATCATTGCGTAGACTTCTTGTCAGCTTGCGCTTAAGCTGACTCCGCTCTTCATTATGTTCAGAGCCAGGTGGAATGAGTTTCCGAGCATCTATCAGTGCGATAGATGCTGCTGAGATCCAGTGTTGCTCCCTAACCTTCTGGTTTACCTTACTAGCAGATATCACTGCTGTTTCCACAGCTTTTCGGATATCATTCCATGCTGCATCGGGGTGGGCATCACATACATGGCTGCCTAACTGTTTTCCTAGTTGTTCCTGAAATATACTCTTAGCTTGACTATCATTAAGTAGGCCCTAAGAGGTTTCCTTGCAGCGTCTTTCCTACGTCCAGTAAGACGCAAGCAAATACGCGCTCGCACTAGAGCATGATCTGAATCTAGGCATGTGCTCCAGAATGAGCGACAGTCTTCTATCGAGCCCCTCCATCGGTGGCTGATAGCGATGTGATCTATTTGGGTCCAACGTTGGGACGAATTAGGGGGTCGCCATGTTAAAAGATGTTTTTCCTTATGCTTAAAGTTAGTATTTGCAAGGAACAGGCGGTTATCTGAGCATAGCTGCAACAGACGGTCGCCATTATCTGTTCTTTGAGCCACGACACCATAAGATCCACCTAGGTGTCTTTCCCTATCGCTTAGTTTACCTACTTGAGCATTAAAGTCACCGGCCACTATTACTACATCCGAGCGCCTAGCTTTTCGGAGAAGGTCCGAAAGCTTTCTGTAAAACTCATCTTTTACATCATCTGAGCTGCAGTCAGTGGGAGAATAGGCAGAGACGACGAAGAGGCAACGACGAGTGTCCCTATCTTTCCGGATTCTTACTGTTCCGTTCAGTCGGACAGCGCACAAACGACTGTCTACTGGGATCCACTCTAAGAGAGCTAGTTCTGCCCTAGGACTCAATGCTATACCTACGCCGGCGAGGCCACGGGAAGCAGAATCAGGGCTTCCAGATACACGAAGCGTAAATCGAGTCGGTTCTTTATTTTGGCATGGTGAGGTCAAATGAATGACGCTACTTGGATCCTGTATGCGCGTTTCGGAGACGCAGCACACATCGATGGCGCGAGATTCTAAAGTTTTAGCTAAGGAAGCCTGCTGTCCTATTTGGCAAAGTGTTCGTACGTTAAAAGCTCCTACGTGTAGTTTAGAGCGTGGTTTCAGGAGACCAGGAATGGCGTTCCACGTACTCGAATCGTTTGCCCTAGCGGTGCGAGGTGATAAAGAGACGTGAGGAGGGTTAGTCATGGAGATAAGAGAGGTATTAGGAGGTGTAGGAAGGATTTGAATGTGACCACCTTGGTCTCTTGTGCTGTTACGGGTATGAGGGCTGATGTCACTTCCCGGCTGCCCACACCGTGGAAGGGTATTTCTTGAGGAACCTGAAAAGGAAATTGGATTAGTGTTGGTCTTGACGACCTGGGAGCGTGACCGCAGAGCCCAAGGGACAACTGCTTGAGGCCGGTCGCGCACGGCCTTTTTGTGGAAGGTTTTTGACGTGTTAGCTCCGTTCTTCAAAGGGCCTTACCGCCGGAGACGGAAATCCGTGAGGTAAGGTGAGGTGTGACATTTTTAGGGTCGACCTTTTCTAACCCCACCCCTCCTTGTGGGAAGGCAGCATCGCTGTCATGCTGGTTGTCCGAGGGAAACACCTTACTGCTGTCACACCTCTCTACAGTCAGCAGTACGACTTCGCCCTCAGACCTTGAGTTGCTGCTTTTAGTCTTACCGTTCTCCAATCGACCTGCCTGGCATGGTAGAACCTACAGGAACATATGTTCCAGCCAATATAGCTCGGTTGGGTCATCACGATAGGCAAGCCCGACCACCGCGTCAAGGTAGCAGCTTCGGTCGGGACTTTACGTTGACACTGAATAGTGGACGAGAATAATATGCCTACGACACAACCGGGATCTTGTTTGCCCTTCCTAGCTTGGATATCATCTATTTGAATGGTGTGCGCGACGTAATCCCAGCAAAAGCTTCTTAGTGTTGTAGATTACTCCTGATCGCGTATAATGAAGTCCTGTTTATATTAGACTGTGACTTACTATATGGATAGCTCACCTATTAAAACTCCCACCCAAGTGTTCAAAAATTTCATACACCCTACTAATAGTTGTATGACGCATTACATCAGGAACATTCTTTATAACAATTGCAGTTTGTTCACCGTGAGTCCAAAAACGTTGTAGGGGCGGGTGACGAATACTCTAAGTTCGACAGATTAAACCTGCAGATAATCCTGACTAGGCTCTCATTTTATTGAAGCTTTACTAATAAGTTTGTCCACGAATAGTCACCAACCTACTACCTACCATAATATTCCCTGTATTTACAAAAGAAATTCATTGTAAGGAACTATTGCTTGTGTGCTTAGAACCCGAAACATAAAGTAACTTTATTGCTCGTTTTTACTTATATTAATAATTTTTGACACAAATCGCTGAAGTGACTTAAGTGTCGCTTTAAATGTTGCCCGCAGATTTACATTTTAAACTGGCTTATCCTTCGGGGTTTGACTTTGCTATGTGTTGTGGAAGACGTATTAATGCGACCAAGGGTAGCAGGAGTTAGATCTCTCTCGAAATGCACCCGCACGGCCACGTACATACAATTACAGCCAGAGAAGTCCTACTTGCTACCTTCTCATGTCGGAAGTGCTGTTCATGAAATTAAGATGACGAAAATCGGCTGTCTAGCGCTTTAACCGGGTTGGTGGATCTACCTAGGGGAGTTGGAAAGCCCTAATTACAAACCAATGGTGCAAACGGGCTCCAGCATCCTGAGGGAACAAAGGGCGTATGATGAAGGTATTGGTCACCGGCTACCTTGGACCGCATCTGTTTACGCTACTCCACTGCCCTGTGGGTCAGACGTTTAGGTCGAAGGCTCCGAGTGTGGCCCAACAACAATCCACCTGCTTGGATCTGGACACCCGGGCAGTACTTCAGCCACCATACAAACCAAGTAACTTGTGTAGCACATATGTGCTCGGTGCCCCTTCGTACCAATATTTATGTGTTCAAATAAATAAGCAACCATATGATTAGTTCAGATGTCATTATGACAAATCGCCTATTTCAATTCACACCATTCCACAAGTATAATGAAGGCCAAAGTGGACCACCTTTGGCGCCTTCTTGATGTTAGTTTGGCTGTGAAAGATCAGATCTACAACGCGTCGGTGAGAGCAATTTTGCGCTATGCTCGTGAAACCTGGCCTAATATTTGTGTTCAAATAAATAATAAGTTCCACAATATTAGTCTGAAGTCGATATGATCAAATATCCGACATCTACTTCATTCAGTGTGGTTTTTTATACAAATAAAGTGAACCATAAACGCTCTCAATGTCCTAGACTACTGGTCCGAGTCTATGAACTATATAAAATCCCCATAGGTGTGACGACGACCTACTCTAATCGTCATTTGAACGCATTAACAAGAGGATCGTTAAGTAGTACGGTTTATCAAAAACCCAGATGACTGCTTTGTACCATTCATTTAGAACAGTTTAGACCAAACCATTCAGAGACCAAGAATTTACTTAACATTACTCACGAGAAGTCCGCTTTACACCATGTTATTTTGAGATTGTTACTTTACACCGAGGGAGGTCTGAAAATCGAAAGCGACCGTCGTATTAAGCTTTTAGAGTAACCAAGTTATATTTGCAAGATCGGAGTCTCGTCACAGCAATCCCTGAAAATATGGAAGTTCATCTAACACCTATACTTGCAATAACACATCCTCATAAACCAAATATATTGAAACCAAACAGCTATTTGATTCTAGTGCATAAGTCGAAGCATTTGAAGTAATTGAGTTAAAAGGTGTAGGAGTTAAAGTCAATTTCATAAGTTTAGTTACCAAGTACAGATCATTTCAGTTTTTAGACACAATTGAGGTGACGGTTATTGATATTACTCGGTTGCCAAAACTGAAGCAGATATGTCTTGAACAATCACTCGACTGACTAGGCACTATCATCTTACACTTAGTAGCAAGCGCTATTAAACTGTAATTTTGTTCAAGTCGCATAGAACTTGCCAGCAGCACTAAGCTTCTTAGGTGGGAATATTCAAACTTTCACCACTATACAAGGTGAACCGTATGCATAACATACAGCTCCCAGCCAATAAGTCCAAACATTACATCAGTTTCAGCAAAATGTTAGTTACTAGCCCCCTCCATAAACACAGCTCAAACATGAGCAGTCTAGTCTACATGACGTGAGTAAAATCCAGCCTTGTTAAACTAATTAACGACGTAACACTGCACAATACCAGTTCATATCATTGCATGTCCTACAGCACCTGGTTTTCCTAGCTCATGTACCAAACGAAGCACAGAGTGCAATAGTTTTGTGCAAAGGTTACCATAAACTCCTGTCGAAACAAGTTTGATGGCACTTTTCAATGCTATGGAGGGGACTGCTTTTAGTTCATGATTTAAAGTCGCCACAGTTTTTCTCATGTACTCATATTAACTGGTCATGCTGGGCTGTACTATTTTTCAAAACGCAATTTTGAAGCTTTTTGACTGATTCACTACCACTCACATATACTCCTGACCTTAATCCGAATATTTGCGTCAGTGTTCTGTTGTTTGCTGGTTATGACAGTAACAATCAACTAGTTTTGAGACTCCTTGATTGCGTGACAGAAATTTTACGCTCAGCTTCGTCACCCAGAAGACTACCAGTGCGTTTTCACATCCTCATGTATAGTCAGTCGAATAAGCAGATGAGTTCTTTATCCGAATTTCTGCCGCAAAACCAGTGAACTGTGGTTATGAAAGCTGTTGGTCAATACGACAATCTGAACAAACACATCTTTTAATCGCACTGTCGATAAATTAGATAAAACATGTTGCAAATATCATAAAGGTTAAATACAGGTATATTTATTTCGCAAGATTGTAATGAATGACGATTTCCGTGCCATCTAGACTAATAATAACAGAAAAATCCAACAGTCGTAAACACTATCCAGTTTTTTTTTCGCACCATATATTGTACTACGATTGTATTACAGGTTAAAAATACTACGAAACAAGAACGGTATAAACTCAACAATGTATGAAATACTGAGTCATTCTCGAATTGTTCCCAATTTCGTGACTGATACCATAGTCCCTATTGTTATATGAGCAAACTTTAATTCAAAACACAATTCATTTATATCTGTCAGTACTAGGAGTAACGAAAACATCTTCGCCTGGTGCAGTATACAAAATGAAAAGCTCCTCAAATCTTCTCAACTCATTTCTTTACGGTACAGTTACCTGGTACACAATACTTCTAGCTATAACAATAGAAGGCAGCCGCTAACCAAGACTACGAAAGCATACCAGTAGTCACATGACATTCCAAATAATGTTTCTATGCATATTAGCATGAGATGAACAATTAAACGATACAGGCTAGTTACTTTTCGTAACAACTATAATGAAGCCATTTAATTTTTAACAGACTTGGTGCACGAACGCTTTTCATCTATTTTACTTTGGTCAAGTACCAAAGTCTGTACTTGGTGAGTTACAACCGCAATTGCCAGTGACCTAGACGTAAGGTTAACCCATATACTATTGTTCTCAAGGAACAAGTTTTCAGAATTAGTGACGACCAAAAATAATACATAAATGGAGATGAGGTTGGACCTAACGTTAAATTTCGGCAAAATTATTAATCTAAATTAGTTTACCACTACTGAAAATGCTTTGCATCCTTCTGTGTTATGTCTGTACTTCTTGAGAAAATGCAAAAAGAGACACGCGATCAAATAATGCAAAAGTTCGAAACCAGTGAAAAAAATTTACTAAGAATATGATGCTGTGAGAAATAGTTTTCAAAAATAATGATTGAATTATTAACGACACAAACCACATGTCATTACAATTTTCCGGCTATCCTGTGAGTGACTAGAAGAGATAAAACAATTAGGTTAAACAGATCCTACCATAATAGCATTGACTACATCATCGTTGTTTTCACGAAGTGCTCGAATAGCTTTGCCACGCGATACACCAGCTTGCTGCATAATGAGTTCAACATCTTTCTCGTCCAATCCAGTAGCATCAGGCTAAGCAGAATCAACTTAATTATAATCATTTTACCTCTTCATCATCTTCAGACTCTTCTGCGATGGCAGTCTTGGAGATAGATGAAACTGTATCTTTCGATAGACCACTGGAAGTCCCTAACTCAGCACCTCCCATAGCTTGACTACGAAGTTTTTCAGCTGCAGCTATCTGAGCTTGGGCTGATATATCTTCTACCTTAGCCTCACCAAATATAATGTATGTATCCGAGGCAGATGATTTATAGACCTCTGCTCTATTGATTACAAACATAATGGTCTTTGCTTTCCGTATAGTTACGCGGCAAACTCCCTGTACTAATTTTAATCCCAGCTTCGACATAGCTTTCCTAGCTTTTTTTTCACTTCTGGACTGCTTACATCGACTGAGTAATTCATCGGTCATATGTGGAACTTTGGCATCGCTTTGTTCCTTAGAATCTTCTATTTCTGGCGCAGAGTCGTCCGAGTCACTGCCAGAATCAGAAACCACATTTTTGTCTTCCAGCTTGTTCGTAGCTCCCATTATCCCAGTTGCAACAAACCACTTTATAACCACGGATATGTAGCCTTGAACCCCACTCCTTTCGTCCTAAGTAGTTCAAACAATTACAGTTTTCAATAGACAGATTAATCAAAAAGGCACTCTGCTATATTCTTTCTTTGCTAACCAGATAAAATAAATCATTGTTTCAGTGTGATTAGGTTGCATAGATGAGTTTTAAAAACGGGCAACGACTTCATACTTGTGCATTAACTATGCTTTTGTGTATCAATTTAATCAGTAGCATACATAGTACAGTATAACTTGGGTTATTCCCTTTAGGATTAGGAGTTTTCTAAACACATCTTTTGGTAATATTTTTTAGTTGATTATCATCCTAGTCATTAGCTTGTGTTGCTGTCGATTTTTCCTGTCTTCGATCCATCTGTACTCGCATGAGACACTTACTCGGTATGAATCGTCGATAGAAACTTAATAGACCGTTGAACACACACAAATACTTGGTTGTGGTTGGTTCTTGATAATCCACAATGGCTATTACCTTGCTTTACAGAAGGTGGATGCCTTGAGTATCAATAATATGTCCAGAGAAATCTTGGGAGTAGGAACCAATTTGACATTTCTGAATGTTTACAGTAATGCTATATTTTTGAAGCCATTCGAAAACAAGGTGTTGATATTGAAAATGAGATTCTCTGTCTTGACTTGCGATCAAGCGTTCATCTGCATCTGCATGCATGAATTTGAAATTTCTAAAGAAGTCATCGATGAAACCGTGCAATGCTTGTGCAGCATTTCTCAAACCGAAAGACATGCGCGAAAATTCCCGGAGTTCAAAGAGAGGTGATGATAGCAGTTTTAGGAACTTCGTCAGCAGCCGTGAGAATATGACTACAGGCTTTAACCAAATCGATTTTCGAAAAAAACAGTTGTGCCTTTTAAGATAACTTTGAAATCGTAAATGTGAGGCAACTATTAACAATCAGAAATTATTTTCGCATTCAGTTTCTGATAGCTATCAGTTGAACACCAATCATTGCTGTCCTTTTAGGGACCATGTGCGATCTACCTTATGGTCGAATTCATTTTTGGCCAACCATAGCTTTTCGGAAGCTTGTTGTCACGCTCTTGAAAATACTGGTTGTTCTGTGGTGGTGATGTCGTTTTTAACGCTGCCGGTTGCACACGGTAACTTTTTTCGTGTTTGGTACAGCTCGAGGTACTTGTCGAGTATCTGTTGATAGCATAGATCGATCATGTGCTTAACAGTGATTGGAGATGGCCTACAACTAGAAAAGGAAATCATACAAACAGATAAATTAATCTTTTCGTCTACTTAAATCCGTTTTTGCGTAACGATGGGTAGACTATGGTGTTCTAGCAGAATTGTGCGATCGATCGTTAGAAGTTGCCGGAAGAACGCTTACTTCTGCTCCAGTGTCGATAAGGTAGAAAATTTTCGTCAATATGTCAGTGTTGTGTAACAGACGGCTATGCCCTCCGGCTGCAGGTGCCGTTAACGCGTGACGGTTTGGAAGTTTCCTGAAAGGTTTTTTTGTGTTGGATAGTTTGGAGCTCGGGAAACTACGGGGTTTCCTGCAATTTCGAGAAGATCTGCCATATTCATTATGGTATCAGCACTAATAAGAATTATCTATTTCTCGTGGACGAGAAACGGATGTACGCCGTGACATGCTTCTTCGGGGAGTTTGAGAGCGTCTACGATTACGATAAATGTCGGGCTAACAAGTTAGAGTGTGACATAAATCTGTCGTGTCGTTTTGAGTTGTTTGAACTTTTGTTTTTCAAAAGAAACATCGGTGTTGGGGATTCTAGTGATCTCCAGAATACATTCGGCAGATGCAGCCAGTTCGTCTCCGGCGTTATTCTGAAATGATACAAAGGCTGCCAACACCTGTGGAGGAAACTTACAAAAACAGGTTCTCTAAGCGGGCCCTCGTCAAAGGTCCATTGGTCAATCAACTCTCATATACATAGTAACATTTCTTTTGCTGAGCCACCGTGCAGCTCGATATTGTGGAAGAGTTAGCCTAGCCTTTGTAGGTTGGTCAGGTCCCCACACTTAAGAACAGTCGCAAAGTCTCGAAACACCACTAGTAAACATACTAGGTGTGATGTACCTGTTAAGATCGAGCGGTTGCGCTTTTACTGCTGTGGGGAATTGTGTACATAAGTCTGTCTTACTGTCCCAGTGAAAGTCAGCTCCCGTGTATAAGAACCAGGATTCTAAATTATTGGATGAATATTGTATTAGCTGAATAGTGAGCGAACTCAAAGCAACCGTCAACCAACACCAAGATTTTTAGTACAAACGTCAAGACAGTTCTACTGTATGGAGCGGAAACCTGGAGAACTACTAAAGCCATCATCCAGAAGATACAGATGTTTTTTAACAGTTGTATACGCAAAATACTTCAGATCCGTTGGCCAGACACTATTAGCAACAACCAACTGTGGGAGAGAACAAACCAGATCCCAGTGGAGGAAGAAATCAGGAAGAAGCGCTGGAAGTGGATAGGACACACATTGAGGAAGGCACCCAACTGCGTCACAAGACAAGCCCTCACATGGAATCTCAAGGCCAAAGGAAAAGAGGAAGACCAAAGAACACATTACACCGAGAAATGGAGACAGACATTAGAAAAATGAATAAAAATCGGAAGGAAGGCCCAGGACAGAGTGGGTTGGAGAATGCTGGTCGGTGGCTTATGCTCCATTGGGAGTAACAGGCGTAAGTAAGTAAGTGAATAGTGGGAGGCAGAGGCGGTTCAATCTTAGGTAACTTAGTTATCTGTTCCATCGTAACGAAGATATATTACAGCAACGATCAGGAAAAAAGTTCAAAAATATGAAAATTTTATCACGATATGTAAAAATAAAATTGAAAAATGATATATCAGGTTCCAACAAGGAACAGACTCGCAGTTCACTAGTTAGTGTACCAGATCACGTCGTTCTCATCACTAAAGATGTCACAAGTATTCGGAGTTTTACAACAATTTTATCAATAGCACTTTTACATTCCAAGTATGCTAACCCAGTCAAATCAGAAGTCATAAGTGAAGAGGTTCAAAGATATAATTTAAAGGCTATCGATATGTCGAGAATCGTTCGGTTTAAGCCGGCTAACAGTTGCAAGGGATGTGTAACACGGCGTACCAACTCGTGGACTATTGCGGATGTGTGACCGAGCGCCTTCATCGAGGTGAGTCCAGTAAAACCAGTGCGGTCAGCACCAAATGCCGAAGGCTTATAGGACTGTTTATTTTGGGGATTTATTTATCGCTACCATCTGAACCCGAAGTCTACTTACATTCAAACATATCATTCCACTAATCTCTATTATTATTATTATTATTATTATTATCATTCACAAACACCTTACGGGTGCATAAGTGATGTGAAGAAACCGTTTCGGGTTCCTACAGAAATGGAATAATGCACAAGTTTCAATAATGTTGGCATAATATTTACCATATTTGAAAAAAAACAGGTCATGTGCAATTGAAAAGAATATTGAGGTGACCTTAAAGAAGGAAAGGGAGAAAATAAGGTAATGGCAATGAGGGGAACTCGAAATACACAGTTTAATAAGCGTGTTTGTAAACACAAAACAAGAATAAACGACTATGTATGTATCGTCAAATGGATAAAAAGAAGAAAAAAGATTGAAATTAAATGAAGGAATGAGAAAATAACTTATTATTGCTGTAAGATATGAAGGTAGAATAAGTGTTTGTGCAGTAATGGTTTGGAGTGATGCTATGAAGTCCCAATTAATTGCAAAGGATAATCAAGTATCATTATGTTTGAGTCACATATACATAGTGAAAGTAAAGTGAATCTGAGAAGTTAGTTCAAGTGTAACACAAGATATTGTCTTAATTACAAACTCCGGATACTTAAGAACAACATTTATTTAGAAAGAAGGGAGAGAGAGAAAAAAGAAATGAATACCTACTGAAAGTGTTCAGCCATAATAATAAGAGTGCAATGAATATCGACCTCTGAAGTAAACCAATAATTTTTTTAAATATTTTTCAGTCCACTCGGGTAAATACACGGAAATTTATGTTTTAGGGTACAGAGTAAAACTTGATATTAGTATAAATTCTTGTGCAATAATCATTCAGAATGATGCTATAAAAGTTACAAATAAGGATGCAAAGGATGACCAAATATAAATTCCTATGTGTTATATATATATATATATATATATATATATATATATATATATATATATATATATATATATATATATATATATATATATATATATATATATGGTGATGATAAAATTAATTTGAGAAGTTAATTTATTTAAGCGTAACATAAGATAATTTGTTTTTAGTTGTAGACTTTGGGTGTTTATGAATATAATAAGTTTAGGAGGAAAACAAGGGATGAAAAGATTATCTAATGTATCAAGGGACCAATAATAATAATTATTATTATGGAAATAAGTGAACTTCAGATATTAAGAACTGCATCACTTTATACTATGACAGTATGTGACACCATAGCATCCTAATTACAGATCAAAATATCTTGGTATTTCGAATTATTTGAATTATAGTATGAACTAGGAATCCCAGAAATAACGCAATTGAATCAAGAAGTACTAGATGAGCACAAACGAATGTATTGTATTTGGAATTCGAAATCGAGCAATCAACAAGTACAGAGGTATCATTAGTTCATTCAAACACCACATCCGCCACAGCTTAAATAGAAGTATAAGTGTCTGTAATCGGTTGTACGTCTTCTTCTTAAGTTCATCTTGAGTCTGTCCGACATTGTATTGGATAAAAACTCTGTAGTCTCTAGAATGTGCTCATTAGTATTGGAATTAACAACCGAAATCGGAACAGACTCATCTGGGTCCTGAAATTGTATACAATCAGCATGTCGGTTTTGTACTGAAATCATTAATATCTAGAATTTGAACCATAGATTTTTCAACACTATCCTCCCCCCACGAAACAATGTTGGATCTTTAT